GTTTTGTTTTGTTATTTTGTTTTTTAAGAAATCTGTTACAGCCACATAGAGGCTGGGTGATCAGTTTCTGGTTTGTTGTGCCTTCCTTAAGACTTCATGTTCTTGAACTTCTTCTGATCACTTCCTGATGCAATAACAAGCTTCAGATTGTTTTGTCTTGACTTTATGTGGAGGACAAATAGTACTTACATGTGAAACAACAGAACTCATTTAACAGCTGTCAATGGTCAAGCCATTCTACCACAGTTCTAAGCACTGGAGAGTTTTTGTTTTTCACCTTCATCAAATCCTCTCAGTATTAAAGTTAACTTTGTTTCATATTGTTTCACTTAGGTCATTTCAAGCGAGTTAAATGAAAGTGCAATAAAGACAATAAATTAGTATGGATATAATTATATATAGACAGGGGAATCTAAGTGAAATAGTCTGCTTAGATGACTTATAGACACATGCACTGTTAGGACGCCCTACCTCCTCATCCCCCAGTTTATCTGTAATGTGTCTGTTGGAGCAACAGAGGGCAGAGTTGTCAAAACAAATGGGAATGGTGACCGGGTTTTATCTGTTGTTGTTAAAGACTGTTGGTAAAAAAATAATAAAAAATATATATACAGAAATAAAAGTTTGAGAATCGATTTCTTTATAATGACTCTCTTTTTAGTAAAATTTGTGTTTTTACCTAGTAAAAATATATTTCTGCTTTACATTAATCACTTTCAAGAGAGCCCTTAATTCAATCATTTTCTAAAGTTTATTCTCAAGGTTTTTATCTGAGTTTGAATTATTTATACTAATTAAATTGTTAAGCTATAATGTATACCCCTATATTTTACAGGTTCCTCCATGGTGTGCAATGCTTGTGGGAATAGTAGAGTTCCTAAGAAACATTTTCTTTGAATAGAATACATTTTTTTGTTGAATCATCAAGTAAGATGACACTCAGCATAATATAGATACGAGAAAAGTGCTGTTTAATTGATTTTTTTGACATTGCTGGAACGTGTCATGAGGTTGAAGGCAACAGAATAAGCAGAGCGCACTGTCTCCTCTGCTGGTGCAGCAGAATAAATGAGAGATAAAGGCAGAGCTGTCCGCCCCCACTCTGCTGAAGCTCCATGCCAGGTTTTCCCTCAGGTCTCTAAGCAATGTTTGCAGCTTGAACTTTTATGTAGCTGCTTTTGATTTAAGATTAAAACAATATCTAACCACATCAGTTAGGTTTTAGATTGAAGTTTATAATTTTCCCCTTTCATTTGACTTAAAGCATTTTTTATTTTATTATTTGGAGAAAGAATTATACAATAATAAAATTGTTTGTGCTAAATAATGCAATATTTTACCCGTACTCTTTTACGTTTTTCAATCTTTTCAACTGATGTGGATTATTTGCTATATGAAATCTATACAAAGACTAAGGTAATCAATATTAAGTTTTACATCTAGTTGGATCCATTAAAAAATACTTTCTGTATTTATATAATCCTGAGTAGATTTCATCTTACTACCCATGACTAAGTTTATTAAGAACAAATTGAGATCTTTAACTTTTTATTGAAAAGCACGGCTGATTAAAACCAATGCATTTGCAATCAAGCAATGAGTGGAACGATATTAAGAATGTTCCTACTGCTCCTTTTTTATCTCACCTTTACTAAACAGCATTATATCTACTTAAAGTTTTATATGAACATAATTTTGTTCCTTTATTCTGATAATGTTTTACTGGGAGCAGGTGATATTAAAATCTAATGATATTACATTTTTTTGGGAAGATTATAAATAATTAAAAACTGAAAAAATACCTGATCAAGTGTATTTACATTTCTCTTAATTAAGTGTCCAGTTTACTGTAAGTGATGCAATCTAATGTTGCTCTCCACCACAGCTTAAGAGGTTTATTAATAATTGTAAATATTAATATCATTTTAGATTTAAATATCATTTTAGAAAGTCCAAATTGTAAACATATGCTGACATGAGGATGAATTAAACATTTATGTTAACTAAACTTGTTTAAAGAATAAACAATTTCAATTAGATTGTTAAAAAGAAAAATGCTTACAACACAATATTTGTTTATTAGTCAATCTAATTTTAAACGCTACTTCATCTTTTCAAACAGCTGGAAATGTTAATCTTGATACTAATCTGACTTTTTAATGCAGGAAACATATTCACGACTGATATAATCTAAGGGCATTACTACTGGAAATAGTTTCAAAGAGTTTTATTTGCAATTTAGAATTACAGCTCATAATACTCGCTTTAAATTGTTTCTTTGACCCAGCACATTATCCTGTAGATGCACAGTCAGACATCTTACAAAGGAAAGGAGGTCTACTTTTTCACAAAAAGACCAGAGTCAATAACAAGGTTAGAGAGAGTTAGAATATCTCTACCTGTGCTCAATGATTTGCTTTACATGGTAGCAAAATCATTCATATTCGGTAGCAAGATATTTGGATAAAAGGAAAAATTAGGATAGTAATTATTAAATATGGATCAAAAGAAACTACTAGAAGCTACAGCAAAATGTGAAAACTTGCCTAGATGTTCACCCTGTGCAATTACTCTGTTTTACCCTGTGCAATTACTAATTAATACCAATAACAGCTGTGCAATAACCTGTATCATTATATTTGATACCCAGTCCAATAGCTATATATATATAATATCCATCTATATAAATACCTATGTAAATACCCTGTACAAATAACCCTGTATAATAATCCAGCTAAATAAGAGACTTAAGCTGTCATCTGATATGTGGACGCTCTGTATATACTGTAAATGCCCCATGCACCTTTTTCTTCCTTTGGCACCTTCTTCTTCTTTTTTATGACTATTTGTGCTGATATAATGAGTAAATGTCTCCACTGTGAGATCAATAAAGTCAATCAATCAATCAATCGATCAGTTTTATGAATCCTTCTTGGACGAGAAGTAAAACATATTGTTTTTGTTTTGTTTCTCTCAGCAGTATCACTTTGTTAATGTGCCCATAGGGAAATTTGCCTTTTATCCAAAATATAAACATTTTACCAAAGTAGCCAAATCAGTCTTTTAAAACCACAGGACTAAAATGATTTCCCTATCTGGCTGAAAAGCTTTGCATAGTTCATGAGCAAGACATATTGACTCTGTGCAGCGACCCCTGATCAAGGGAGCAGCTGAAAGGAGACAAACGTCCCAAAAAAAGGAAGAGTTTTTCCTTCAGTTGGACCTTGATGTGGGCTGGCTGAATCTTTAAACACTAGGAGCTCAAATTTTCCATGAAGTGAGTGATAAGAACAGTTAAGATTTTCTTAAAGCTTTTGTGTGTGACTAATAATAATATTTGTGTGATCAGGTTATTCTTTGCCGGCCAGTTTTACTACTTGCTTCATCCTGTTATGCATTCTGCTGATGGATTTCTAAACTAAATAAATGCAGATGTAGACACTCTGTCATATAATTATAGAAAATTACCTTTCACTGTTTACAAACTCTAAAATGATTACATATTTAAACTAAAGGTGGTGGACTGGACTACAGAAAGGGTTTTGTTTTTGGTATGATTTAGGGGCTGTAAAACCATAACATAAAATCTTACAGCCTCTGACCAGGTGGTCTTATTAACTTGAGCTCAGTGGGACATGAGGAAAAAGAAAACAAAGTCAAAAAGAAGTCCTACACTTTTAAAAATTCCAGATCTTGCATCAAGGGCAACAGTTGAAAGACCGCTTTAGATTTTCCTTACAGTAACCCTATGGAAGATCATAAAAACCTCTGCTCCTTTTTAAAGTTTTTCAGAATAACAGACCTCTATCTGCTTTTTTTATGTATGAACAGAATCTAAATTCCTGGGGTTCCTTGTTTTTGTTGTTTATAAAATAAAACCAGTTCTGTCTTTGTTAGAGCATTTGTTTACAGACTAAACGAACTTCCTCTAAGTTAGCGGAAGTTTCCAAGTCTTTCCATGTATTCTGCTTTAAATTACGTAGGCAGTAGCGGGTGTGGGGCTCAATCTGTCTAAAAACATGCATGCTGGGTTAATTAGTGGTTCCGAAATGACTTTAGGGGTGAGTGTGTGTATGAAAGCTGCCCCACCCTAAGTGGTATGACAACCATTTCTACAAACGATCCCAACATTTCTCCCTCACTTTAAATCAGTCTGTGTTTCTCACATAGCATCAAGGACACAACTAATGGAGGAATAACAACCTCAGAAAGGAAATCAAGTTCTCGTTTTTAAAGCAACACTAAGATACATTTAATTTAACAAATGTTAATATTGTAAACTGAATGTATGCAGTTAACAAATTGGGGCCTGTGATAAAATTAGATTTATACCGTGCTTCAGCCCCAAATTATTTTTGAAAAAATATCAAATTGAAATACTAAATATATAAATAGGGTTCTATAAACCCAGGAATCATATATACATTTATATAAATCCCATTGAGATTAAACCCCTTTTTAAGGGAGTCCTGGCCAAGAGCAGCAAAGTTAAATAATAAATAGAGATACATTAAATTAAATGACAGGTAGCCTTCATAAAAAACATGTCAAGTAAAACAATTACAGATCATTGAGGCTGCCTCAAATTCTTTGACTTTCAACTTAAAAGCATTTAAAAATAAAAACTCAGTCAACTTCCATATATATTATATATATATTATACATGTATATATTATATATATTCTGTATACAGCTATATATATATAGATAGATATACATATCTACTAAGACACTAAACCAACAGCTTCACATAATACACTATGTGTGTAATTAATGTAAATATATATGTTTCATTTTCCAATACGAGGGACCAAAAGTGATGCTTTATTATTATTATTATTTTTTTTTTATACACCTGTATATATTCCGTTTTGGCGTGTTGCGCTCTCTGAGACCTGGACTAAAATCCACTCCGCTTTTTGCCGCCCGCTCCTTGCCGTGTTATCCGTGGAGCTATGTGTTTTTCAGTGTGGGAGATGCTGACTCTTGTTTGGAGCAGCGATCCCACGGAGGGGTTGAGACCAGCAGCAGCAGCAGCAGTCTGCGCTAACTGAGGACGAACGAAGCGGAACCATTTCATCCTGGATTTTACGCGCAATCGGATCATTTCTATTCTTACTTTCCTCCACGTTGGTGAGGGGAATACGAGCAAAACAGAGGAATCACGCGTAAAAGACAACTGCGTGGCCACGCTCTCTCGCTCCCTCCCACCCAAGCCGAGGTCCTGTAGCTGAAGATCCATTCTCCTGCGTGGCACAAGTCTGGTATTTTCTCTGAGTTGCAAACCCAGCAGGGATCAGTCCGACAGGAGCTGAGGGGAAATTTAGTACTAAATCCAGCCGGTACCTCCGCTGGTACTGCAATCACTCCCGGATCTTCTAGGCTGTGCTTGCTGGATGGCATAGGCAGAGAAGGAAGGGGGGGAGGGGGGGTGTTCATTCATTTTTCAGCCCCTCTCAGCCACCACCCCTGTGGATGTGTCCGTGTTTTGTTTTTTTTTTCATCCTCCTCTTCATCATTCAGCATTTTCACGAGTGGATTCTTGAGAACAATTTAATAGACATCTGCTGGAAATATACATTTAAATATAAGCATTTTTTTTTAAATAATCATTATTGTCAACAACCAGGCCTTAAAACACTGGAGGCGCACTGCTGTTTTTAAGAGATGGAGAATGAAGATGGGGATTACCATCATTTATCCAGGAAAATCACTGGCCTGTGCGCGCCAGCAGCCAAAGTGTGCAGTGATCACGAAAAATAACAGGCTGCATTTTGGGGATTATTTTCGATCAAAAACGCCATTCCTCCCCACCTAAGTCGCATGTATTTTTATTTTTTTTTTAAACACTACTACATAAAATAAAACCTCACAAAGCATTTGGAGTCTGCCAAAGAGTAGCCTTGTTGGCTACAGACATTCATCATACCTTTGTTTTTCTTATTATTTTTTTAAATATACATATATAAAGGCTCTCTTGTGAAGCGTGGACGTCTACGAGCCTTTTTATATTCAATTTTTTTGTATTTTTGAAAGGAAAATAATGAACGTAGGAGCAGGAACATCGATGGGTAGCCTGACCTTGTTTTGGGGTTTGCTGCTGTTTGTTTCTTCCATCTGCGTAAGACCTATCCATGGAGAGAGTAAGTAGTGTTTATTCCACATTGTGTTTATGTTTTAGGTAAATATGTCTTTGAACTTATAATATTTGTGATTAACTTAATATGTAAACAGTAGGTGTGCTATAGGGATCATTTCTGGGTTATTTTAATTAGAGTTTAAGCATAACCCCGTCGTGCGCCTGCTATAAAAACGGTAGATTTGGACCATGTGTTTCTGAATAACTGTAGGTGAACACAGCTAATCTATCTATGTACGCCCATTATTTTATTTGATCATCCATACTTGGGTATTTAAACCAAAAGAGGAGGGGATCCGGTGGAGCAGGAGCATCCGACGCATTGTTTTGAGCGCGCAGAAGTCAGAGGGATGGATCCAGGGAGCAGAGCTGAAGGTTACTACACCATGTGGCCATTTTGCATTTGGAAGTGTGGCGTCGCAGCGCACGAAAACAGCATAATTAAGACAATCCTTTGATTTATTCCAGTAATACACGCACTTACTCTGTCGGAAAATAAGTCAATATTATTCTTTATTTAACAATAATAAAAAAAAAAATGTCGAGAAGCTTTTGAACCGTTTGTTTTGGTGCTCCAGTCAATGGAATCCTTAAAATAGAGCAGCTTCAGAGCGCCTGTTGTTTTCCACCTCGGCTTTATGCGCTCTGCGCTAATTAAGCTTAGAAGAGGGTTGGTGGCTCCCAGTCTGGGAGACATACAAGATCCTTGATTTTGTTAAAAAAAACAAAACATTTTTGTTACAGAATTTTTTTAACACTGTTAATTAAAGGGGAAAATATTCACACATGTGGGAAGTTCCATGTAATTTCCTCTTCCAAGACAATTTTTGAGGGCAAATTTAAATTTCAGTCTTTTAATTTCTTCACTGTACTTGAGAACTTTAGATGTATTTGATGTTTTCTGTATAAAGGTCTCCCAATTTCTTTTATTGCAAAAAAATCAACGTACATTAACAATATATAACATTAATAATTACATATACAACAACAAAGGGCTTTACAGAACAGAACTATTTTTTTTAAAATGTCAAAATCAAATCTAATCTATGCTCCACGGTTACAATTCTTTAAGGGTGGTTATAATTTGCATGGCTTTAGCATTTGCACAAAATTTTAGGGAATATATATATTAAAAGAAAATGATAAAATCTGGAAATTAGGTTTTTGTTGTAAATATTTGGAGCTGTAAATAAGATATTTACCACAAATTAAAAAAAAATGTATAACGTATAAAAATTCTGTTTTGACAAGTTCACATTTCTCCATCCCAAACAAACAAAACATCCTTATCTGTTAAGGTAAGGCGGCTGCCAATTTTAGAGAAATTGCTAAAACAATTTTATGTCACAGAGAGTTTCTATGCAGGCTGGAATAGTCTGCAATGTGTTAGACATCAATTAGAGATAACCTACTAACAAAATACGTAATAACAAAATAATAAAGTATCTTTGTAAATCCTTGATGTTTCATTTACCTTTATTCTCTTCATTTCTTTCTAATTTTCTTTCCTTCATTGTAACTTTCCTTCCTTTTCTTCATTATTTATTTTCACTTCGCTTTAATCATGCACCATGCCTATCTTACCTCTCCTGAATCCCTTCTGTGTTTTTGCCTTGCTTGTTTTCCCTTATTTTCAACATTCTTTACATTCTTTTTGAATTTATTCCTTCTTCTTACTGTTTTTTTTTTTTTATATCCCAACCATTCTGCATTACCTTTCTTGCCATCTCTTCCTTCCTAACTTGTTTGTTTTTATCTGGCACATCAGAGTCTTTTTTTTTTTCTAAACTGGAGTTTGAATGAAAAGTGAAACAAAGTCAAGCAAAACAATCAGATGAGTACTGATGTTTATTTAACTTTTTTTAGACCACAACTGAACTTTCCTATTTTTACATTTATTTTTGATCTCTACTTGAACTGGGTTGAACTGTAGTTCAAGCGTTTTGCATAAGGATTATTTTTATGCCTGTTGTTGACCAAGTTGTTCATTCTGATTCATCACATTCATTGTTTTACCTTGCGCCCCTTTTATTGTGTTCCATGCTTCTTTCCCTTTTAGTTTCCTTCCATTCTCTCTTTACCTTGTCATTCCTTCCTTCATTCCTTATTTTAGTTTTAATGTTTCTGTCATTTCTTCCTTCTCATCTAAACTTGTTAGGTTGTTTTTTTCTTTCACTCTTTTCTTTCTTTCTTTCTTTCTTTCTTAGATTTTAAAATTAAAGTAAGCTAAGAAATCTGACTATAAAACTTTTGTTTTGTTTGGCGATTTGGAATTCTGTTTTATTTGCTGTAGTTCAATACTATAAGCTGTAAATATGATAGAGGCTGGGTCCTACACCCTCATGTAGAGGCTTACATATATGTACACCTCTGTACTATATCAATCTGAGTAATAATAAGAAAAAAGAAAGCACACAATTCAATATAACTGTATTTAACTGATTAGAAAGAGTATTTTAGGCATTTTGGTTTGCTGTTTTATTATATTTGAAAAAAGTCTGATTTTGTTTAGTATTTAACTGATCAGAGTGGATCAAGAGAAAACTACCATATTATAATCATTGGCAGATAGTCTGGTTTATCTGTAGCTTTCTTTTACTTGAACAATGATTTTAAGATTTCCAGAGTTAATTTCCCTCACAGTCTGTCTTTTTACTTTTATTATTTCTTTTCCCTGATGTCTTATGTTTTATCATAACGAGCGCTACATTTTCATAAACACCTGTATGATTCATTCTGCTTTTAACTTAGAGATTAAGCTTGCGTCTATACATGGACACCACTATCACCCCACCCCATGCTTCACTTAGGTGGAAACCTCTTTGCATGTGAAGAGACATGCAGATGGACCACTATTAGCATCTAAATAGATAGGTGAGGGAGTTTCTCTCAGATGTGGAGTCTACTATGTAGAATACATCAGGCCTTCCAGAAGACACAAACTAAGTGACCAAATCCTGTGCAGAATATAAGCATCAGTGTCACTAACTCAGTACTTGTGGATGGTGTTTACTTTACATGGGCTGGAGAGCGTCAGAATTTCCAGCTGCTGTCATCACTTAGTGGAAAATCCCAAACCTTTCAGAGCTCCATTTGGGGTTCAGATCTTTTTGTTCATTTTGATAATCTGTCCGCACCAGTAAAATGTAATTAAGCTCCCTTTTAACTCCCGCCGCAACAGACTTTCCATGCCACAACTTTTAAGCATGCAGTTTCTTTTTTGTGTCTTGTTTTTTTTTTTTTTTTTTTTTTGCTAAGAAGGGAGATAGTGTTGGGAAAACAGTTGGTGTTTGGAAATCATGCATAAGATGCAGGAAACAGATTTGGTTTCATCGATTTGGGGAGAGTTAAGCTGCGTGCTGCTCTAAACCCTCATCATTTGGCAGCCATACCCAGAGCTCTTTAACCGTATCCAGAAGCAGTGGTGGTGGTGAGGTTGTCTGAGCACAAGCCTTCCATGTCCTGTCTCATGAGGACACAGCAATGTTCCTGTCTCTGTCATCTTGGAACATTGGATTGGCGGAGACAAGTGATCAGCCATCAGTGAGCATGCTGTTTGACAGGTACGCTTCCTGTCCAACCTTTTCCCTTCTGGGTGGGGCTCGGCGCAGGACGGCTCTCCTTAACATGACAGGGTGCATACATCAGCTAAGACCGCTGTCGCTGCCACCCAAGGTGCCCTGCTTTGCCTCGTGACTCTGGTGACATAAGACCTCCACACTTGCCGATTGTCTTCTCCCTCTTTGATTGGTGTGTATAACTCACTATGGTAGTCTGAGTCAGTGGCATGCCCGTGGGTAAGGATGTGAAAGTGTGTCACTGGGCTAGTTTGTGAGCATCCTGTAGAAATGCTGTTCAGCAGCTCTTCAGGCCTGCCAGCACAGCGTTGCAAAGCTTTGATGAAATTCTTTATTTCATGTGGCATGCCAGTTTTTTTTTTTGGCCTGGATATAGTCTCTCCATCCAAGCATGTATGCATTATAATTTGCTCTTAGTTTACTGGCTAGTAGAGTGTTTTACAGTTTGTGTGATGACTATAATTGTAAACTCCCCTACTGCATGTCACCTGTCATATCAGATAAGTGCTGCCTGTGTAAAAACATTCAAAGATAAAGCTGCATGGCCTTTCATATCAAGAGATGCACTGATTGCAGTTTTTTTCAGGTCTCCAAAAAAAACAAATATTTTTTGCTAAATCGGGTTTTTTAGGAAGTCGGTTTCATAGTTGAGGAACAGCTGGTTTACAGTCTAGTTCTGGGAACATCCAGCCAAGCGGTCTATGAGCAATACATATGGCTTATACCTGAAATGCAGCTTTAGAAATGTTGAATGAGATGTTTCCTTTTAGACAAAAAACACAATATTACAGTCTATCCTTTGACGATCAAGTAGGTTGTCAGCCAATTATGTGATTTAGGAGACTGTTGGGATATGAGAAATATCCCTGATCTTGGCCAGGACCTTGGAAGCAGCATTTTGGATAGTAATGGATTAGAAATTATGTCACATAATGGTTTGTAAGGGGAGACGCTGCAAAGTCGGTGACTCAGACCGGTTTCCCGAATTTTTCTGAATATGTACTAGTGTTTTTATTTTTAAAGCAACTGACCTAATAAACTCATCTTGACTAAATTTATGACTAGGATTAAATTAGGAAGGCTTTTGATCTGTCTCTCTAAATGGGTGGGGAAAGTCCCTGCTGCCTTTAAATAGTCTCCTACAATTCTTGTCACTTAATTTTGCCACATTTTTATAACTGAAGAGAACATCTATTAGCTTACTTTATTATTAGATTACCAGCTGGTCAGTTTGCCTATTCAGTATGTTTTCTCCCTTGCACCTTTAGTTATTATGCTATGAAAAGCATTCACCTGACAGTTTGTCAGTGTATACTTGCACAGGGGAAGTTTCATATATGTGTTGACTTAAATGTTATTCCTCTGATGGATTTCTACTAGAAGTAATAGATATTTTGATTTCTATATACCAGATTTCTTAAGGTTC